CCCGCTCCGCCCCGCCGGCGCTGACTGTCGGGTCGGACGGGGGAGGGGGAGGGTACAGCTGGCTCTGCCTCTAGATAGGCAGAGCCAGCTGTCACTCACGCAGCTGGGCGGATCCCGGCACAATTGTCGGGATCCGCTTCAGCTGCTGGGTCTCAGTATACCGCGAGCTGTAGCTCGCAGTATACTGAGCTTAGTGTGACGGGAGGACGCTAGTATGTGTCCTCCCGTTACCCTAAGGAGAACTATGGGGAAAAGCCTTAACCCAATAGTTCTCCTTTAAATAGGTTTTATTCCAATTTGGCTGCAAAAGTGGAAATACACTTTAAAGTACACATGGTTTCCTTCAGCCTTGTTACAGGCTTACTGGGCAATAAGCAAAGTGCGGTTACCCAGAGCAATTAATTAGAAGTGTGTTTTTTCAGTAGCCGGACTACACAAAAATAGTAAAATCTGAAATGTGGTTAAAACTATGGGCAACTCCATTAAATACTTTTTTTCCTTTTAAAGTAGCAGCCACAGATGCCATGTTTTATGAAGGTGCAAGCTGAAGGGCTGTGATCTTTATCCTTTTTTTGCGATTTAATAAGTCAATGACATAGAACATGCACACGTCCATTGACGTGTCAGGACAGCAAATATGCACATGCTAGTTCCAAGTTAGATGCCTAACACCAAAGAATGGGGTTTTTTAGGTGCAAAAAAGTGTACAAATTGATGTCTGAATAAAACAATCTTTTATTTATACATATTAAAACATTGTCAAAATTTAAAAAGAATATATATATATATATATATATATATAGACTGTATATCTTTGTCCACATGATTAAATTACTTGTTGTGAATAGCACAAACACTTAAAAGGTAAAGATAGGTACAGTCTTTTTCCATTTGGTTGTTCTTGTATCAAAAGGTCTCAACGCATTTTGCAATTAAGCTTCTTCAGAAGCCCTATGAGGCCATAAGTGGAGAATTACATATCAATATAATACAACATACAAACAGTTGCAATATTTTGTTTCAACATTCAAAAATATAATGTCTCAGTCCCACTTACTTAACAGTCTGTGGACAATCAACAACGTCCAGCATGCCCACAATAGGAAACAAAGGGTGGTTGCTTTGCGGCGGCCATCCAACATCATATATATGGGAGACTTTTTGAAAATTTAGATGCTTTATTGATTCAAACTATATATACAATTGCTATAGGAAGTTGGCAGGGTTCTGAATTGATCTCCCCGGAAAGCCCTTTCCTCTTCCTTCTGTCCACAGACTGTTAAGTAAGTGGGCCTGAGACATTATATTTTTGAATGTTGAAACAAACAAAATATTGCAACTGTTTGTATGTTGTATTATATTGATATGTAATTTTCCACTTTTTAGGGCTCCTGAAGAAGCTTAATCGCGAAACGCGTTGAGCCCTTTTGATACAACAACAAGAACAACCAAATGGAAAAAGACTGTACCTATCCTTAACTTTTAAGTATTTGTAGGATTCACAACAAGTAATTTAATCATATATACATATCTATATATCTATATATAGATATATCTATAGATATGGATATATAGATATATCTATATCTATAGATATATCTATAGATATACACACATACTATTGTACCAAAAGTATCGGGACACCCCTCTAAAACCTTTGGATTCAGGTGTTCCGTGAAATTTCCTTGCTACTAAATATTCCACGGTCAACTGTTAGTGGTATTATAACAAAGTGGAAGCAACTGGGAACAAAAGCAACTCAGCCACAAAGTGGTAGGCCATGTAAAATGATGGAGAGGGGTCAGCGCATGCTGAAGTGCACAGTGCGCAGAGGTCGCCAACTGTCTGCAGAGTCAATAGCTACAGACCTCCAAACTTCGTGTGGCCTTCAGATTGGCACAACAACAGTGTGTAAAGAGCTTCATGGAATGGGTTTCCATGGCCGAGCAGCTCAATCCAAGCCTTACATCACCAAGTGCAATGCAAAACGTTGGATGCAGTGGTGTAAAGCACGACGCCACTGGACTCTAGAGAAGTGAAGACGTGTTCTCTGGAGTGACGAATCACGCTTCTCTGTCTGGCAATCCGATGAACATGTCTGGGTTTGGCGGTTGCCAGGAGAACAGTACTTGCCTGACTGCATTGTGCCAAGTGTAAAGTTTGGTGGAGGGGGTATTATGGTGTGGGGTTGTTTTTCAGGGGTTGGGCTTGGCCCCTTAGTTTCAGTGAAGGGAACTCTTAAGGCATCAGCATACCAAGACATTTTGGACACTTTCATGCTCCCAACTTTGTGGGAACAGTTTGGGGATGGGCCCTTCCTGTTCCAACATGACTGCGCACCAGTGCACAAAGCAAGGTCCATAAAGACATGGATGAGCGAGTTTGGGGTGGGGGAACTTGACCGACCGAGTCCTGACCTAAACCCGATAGAACACCTTTGGGATGAATTAGAGTGGAGAATGCGAGCCAGGCCTTCTCGTCCAACATCAGTACCTGACCTCACAAATGCGCTTCTGGAAGAATGATCAAACATTCCCATAGACACACTCCTAAACCTTGTGGAAGCCTTCACAGAAGAGTTGAAGCTGTTATAGCTGCAAAGGGTGGGCCAACTCAATACTGACCCCTACGGACTAAGACTGGGATGCCATTAAAGTTCATGTGCGTGTAAAGGCAGGCGTCCCAATACTTTTGGTAATACAGTGTAGTGTCAGGATTTCTCTTTGTTATTATTATTATACAGGATTTATATAGCGCCAACAGTTTGCACAGCGCTTTACAATATAGGGAAGACATTACAGTCACAATACAAATCAAGACAAGATGGTAAGGAGGGCCCTGCCCCTGAGGGCTTACCAAGTTAGATTTTCCTGGGACTATACTTTTGCATGCTGCATGTCTGACTTTGGCTTGTTCCATCTTGTCTGGCTACTTCTTTGTCTTGCCATGCTGTACTGCATTTGTTTCTGCCTGTTCACTTATCAATTACCCTACAGTGACACAGAAGATCTATTGCACCTGATGGCACAAGCTCAAAAACATCAAACCCTTATTTCTGAATGCACTTAAAACCATGCAGGGTTGTACATGTATTTTGCTTGCTATGTCATTCATTTTTACTCAGTCAGCTGTGAAAGCCTTAATCTGCATCTTTTCACATAGATTATTTGTAATAAACTACACAAATGTTATGTAGCCCCAGGAATATAAGTCATAGAAGCTTTGCTCAGATACCTCCATTTTTTTTTGGGACACACACAGTGGCCACATGTACTCTGCATCTTTTATTATACATCCATCGAGCAAGGAAGCCATATTGACTATGAGGTTTGACACAGTGGTCAGCCAAACCCATCAGTCTTCTGTAAATTCTTGTGCTTGATAAATATTCAAACAGTTAAATACTTGAAAGGAGCAGCAACAATGCCCCGGATAAAGTTCCTCTATGTCTGCTCATGTGGCATTAGATAATAAAGAAGTAAATTAGGATTTTTGGGAGTAACAGTCATACAATTCCAAACTCTGTAAGGTACTTTTGGAGTACTGCTTCCTTTGTGTTTTGGAACACTCTTTGGATGTTTTCAGTATCCGTAGCGCAGGTGGCGTGAAGAAAAATGATACGCTGTGCATCTTTCTTAGCCTTTCCCGAAAGATCCTGTGGTTTTGTTTTATTAAAGATATCTTTGTAGGAATCCTTGATAAACTGTGTAGCAGCTTGAGCATCCCGACGAGGACCTAGAGATTAAAAGGGAAATGTATATAACACTTAATATTTTATTAAATAAATAAGTATGTGCTAATTTCATTTATAAATAATCCTATGTGTAATTTGCAGCTGTATGCAGTTTTATTTTGCCGTAATTGGCTGACAATGCTGGCACTCCCCTTCTCAGATCTAGTCTTGGAATGCAGAGGTAAATGGTAAGCAAATATACAGATGGACCGCATGCATTAATACTTTGCAGTATTTAATGACTTTAAACGAACACATTTCATATCTGCATGGAACTCAACTTTAAACCATATCTAAACTCAAGAACAAATCAGAAATACATTGTAAGTTACTAGTCCTCAGATGTGGTGGCTGCATGTGTTTGCTTTGTTCAGGCTAAGAACATTTTCTGCAAGTTCAGAAAAATGACTGTTAATCTTGCCATAATTACAGTGTCCTTGTAACTTCCTGCGCACAAGATTGGTATCTCAAACAATGTTATCAGCTTTCACAGCTGTCTTCTGTAAGTGACAAAGCCCCTCCTCTAAATGTAATGGAGAGCAGGAGGTGTGTGTAGTTCAAATCAAAAGAGTGGCTTAGAACGGCAACGCTGCTTCTCTTTAACTACTGTATAAAGAAACTCGGCACTCCTGTATTAATTGAAGATTGTTGTGTGATCCTTAATTCATCAATCGCAAACAGCATACCTCTCAGACAAAATTTCTAACAAGTTTCACACATACTTGTGTTTAATCGTAAATCGTTTCATCACCAGATGAAAGGGTAAAACTAATGCAGACGGCCACAAGGGCTGATAAGCTACATTACAAAATATTTCTGCATTTGGGTTTATTTGGATAGGTTTTAAGGCAAGCCTCAAGCCAACAGTATAAACACAACTAGGGACTGCTGAATATAGAGATGTAGGTGTATTAATACCAAATATCACGAATAGGAGGGTGGAGAGAGCAGAGGATACCTGAAAGTTTCTTGCCAGACCACAGTCTCTGGTCTTCTGCACACCTTTTCTTTGCTCTCTTGGCTCCTTCTGTCATAGGCTAGGCTAGCTGGACAATACATATAAGACATTACTTCTTTTAAATTAGGGTTCTTGTGGTAACTCAACTTTAAAGTTCAAAGGGCATCTGAGAACGTTCCAGCGTATACTTTTTGACCAGTCAGTCACCACCTCTCTTGTGAGGGACAATTATAGCTACTTCCTTAAGGTCAGATAGGACAGCTTCTAGAAGCCAGCATCTTTAGGATTCCTGCAGCACTCCAAACCCTAGGCCCAAAGACTCATGGAGAAAGACAGGTTATCACAGCAGCATCCTAACAGGACAGAATCCTAGGTAGGAAGACCATGTGCCAGGTCTCAAGTGTATAATAAAATCCTACACATATGGTTTCCTAGGATCCCAAGCTTGCTAAATGGCTAGGGCACTAAATAATCACAACACACTGTATTTAGTAAAGATGGAGTAGGGCTATCGGTGACATAACTGAACAGGTTTGGGAAGAATTCTGTAACTGCAACTGTTATATGGTTGTACTTAGAAGAGATAAACTGATGGTATTTTCATAGAGCATATTTTGCACCTGCTAGATTATTTAAAATTGGCAAATGGCATATACCTGTCTGTTACAAATGTCAATTGGTGAACAGAGATATTCTCCACATGGTATGGTATTGTGCCAAAATCAGACACTTCCAGTACCAAGTCATTGAATTCATGTCTCAGAACTTTAATCTTCCAGACTAATAAAAACCCAGGCTGGGGTCTCTTTTGCATTTGTGGGGACATAGATCTTAGTACACATGTGGAAAAACTTTTCCACACTGATTGCCTTTCTATGCCAGAAAAACACACGGGACATCCACAATGAATTAGATATCGGCTTATGGCAATTTCTGGTTAACAACATTCTACCTCCTTATAGAATAACTTACCATTCCACAGGATGCCCCATTAAGTTTATCAATGTCTAGTGGCTAGCCTGTTATAAACACTATGGGGTTGATTTACTAACCTTATACACACGCCACGAACACGTATACACCTCTGTAGTGTGTTCCCTTCCAGCATGATCTATGGGTGAAATCTAAACACCTTTGTAGTGTGTACACACCCAGCAGGTGTGTTGTGCAAAACCAAGCATGAATTGCAAGGTGATGTTGTGTAAATTAGCTCTATGTTGTGTTGCTTGCGTTGATGAATGCAGGAATGTAAATGCATGAGCTAACAATTTTTGTCTAAATTGTGAAGCAGCATTATATATGCATCATGTGCATGATTTTTCCATATATGGCATTAGTGGAAATATGCTTTTAGAGACTTTTTGGTTGATAAATACGTTTTGCTGTGTGAAAATCACATGCACCTGGTGCGTGCGTGTGTTTAGGTTAGTAAATCACCCCCTAGATCTCATACTGACACTTTTATCCACCCCAACACCTCCAGACACACAGACACTTCAGTCACCTTTAATGGGTTTCCTTTTGTAAACAGCACAACACAAGAGGTTGCTTTGAACCTCCTTTATTCTGCAACTTTTTTGATGACTCAACGGTTTATTTATAAAACTTCCATTCGCATCCATTCCATTCACAATCCCCTTCCTATTAGCCTAGAAATTAGCCAGAGATGATTGCCCCTCACCCCCACTGCCTTTAATTAAGGTTTGGATTAAAGTTCGCAATATTCGGTGATAGGGTGAGCTGGGCGAACTGCCCGCAAATCAAACCCAGGCCAATTTGCTCATCCCTAGTTGGGACTGCATTTGGCAGTGCAGACCAATGATGGTAATGAGAATAGACTTCAAAATATGAAAAATATGCTATTTTTCTAAATAAACATTTGGTGAAACAAATACTTTTTCAGGCAATATTATCAATGATCCACATTCTAAAGCAATGATGTTTATACTCAAATTTTAAAAACAATTACCTCCCGTTTTTTACCACAATTAAATTATTTTTATGGGGAAGTGCAAGATTTGTTTAAGTTACAAGGTCAAACTGTATTAAGTGGTCTGTGAAGTATGTTAGAGATGAATTGTCCTATAGTGCAGATAACATGACACCACATGCTTAGCAGGGAGAAACTGAGTGAGCAGGTTCTTGTGCAAGAGTCCTTTGTAGATAGATAAAGGCTTATTGTAAGCAGTGTTGAATCATTAAAGGTTTAGGAAAATAAAAGCGTCAGATTATCTCGAATTGGGAGTAAAATCATTTTTTGTGAGTTGAGTGATAAAGCGCTCCTTGACACCTGTGAAATAGTAGGTTTTAGTATATGTTTCACTTTTAAAAATATTTATGTGTTCCTCAAGAGTTGAAAACTATAATTTAGGCTCTGTTCACACCTACCCGTTTTGGCACTCAAAGCTAAGCACGACAAAATGCTCAAGACAAGGAATTCTATTCATTTCTAAGGCCTCTGTTCTCAGCTGAGCATTTTGGTGCCAGCATAAAGATGCCTGTCACTGGAAACTACAGCACTTTTTGGTCCCAGAGACTTCAACTTTGTGTGACAGAACATGTGACAAAGTGCTCAGGTGATAAAAGGGGCCATACAAATAATTGGGATTTCTTGTTTTGATGAGCTCAAGACAAGCGAATGGGATTCCTTGTCTTGAGTGTATTGTCATGCTTAGCTTTGAGCGACAAAACGCCTAGATGTGAACGGAGTCTGAGGGCCCATTCACACTATGCTTTGTGTAAACACACCTGCATTAGCACATTGTATTTTCGTACATTATGGTGCACGTCATTAAAACAGTCCATTCATTTTAAATGGGGTGGCAACATATCTTTACGGTACCTAGTGATGTGCTATACTGCAAGTGCATTGGCAGCTGCTGCAAGGCATCAGTGTGAATGGGCTGTAAAGGGCTGGCTGTTTACCTAAATCAGATTTTTCGGATTATGATAAATGCTGAAGACTTAAACCACCTGACATTTTAGCTGCTTCGGGGTGAGCTCTACACAAGTGTAGGACAAGGGAATATCACACAGATCGGCTGGATATTCAAATTTTGGAGAATATCAGTCATTGTTTAAGCCACGTGGACCCCAAAACATTAAGTGCTTTTGCACAGAGAGGGTTATTCTTCAAAACTGCAGTGTGGCTGAGAGAAAGCTGCTCAGCACACAAACCAGCTTTTTCACAGCAAAAAAATCCACTAAAATATTGTATTGACTGCATGCACAGTATTTAAAAACTGCTTTTTAAACAAGATAGACACTAGGTACCTTTTATTTAAAAAAATTATCAAATATTTTTTACTGGAAAAAAACAAACAAACTAACTATTGCAGTGCCTAAGTGCACAGTACTACTAAAGTGTGATTATTTTGCATAAAAAGTTCCCAAATTTTTGCAGAGCCTACGTGTACAGTATTTATTCATTTCTACTAGGCCCCATTTTGAACAGGAGCCCCGCCAGACATTTTAAAAACTAGATATCAACATTAGAATGTAATTATTTTGCTGAAAAAATGCCCCAAAATATTGGAGTGAAATACACGCACAGTATTGAATGTTTTGTACTATTCCCCATTTTGAAAAGGAGTCCCCACCAGCCATTTTAACATGACAAGATCAACATTAGAGTGCAATTTGTTTGCAGGAAAACCCCCCAAATTATTGTAGTGCTTACAATCAGGCTATTCATTTGTATTTTAAACAAGAACCCCACTGCCCATTTAAAAATCTAGAAATCAACACTAGAATGTAATTTATTTACAGAAAAAAGCCACATATTATTTGAACCAACATGAACAGTATTGAATCACTTGAGCTAGGCCCTGTTTTAAACAGGACCCCTATGAGCCATTTTAAAATCTAGACTTTATCATTAAATTGGACACTATGAAATCTGCTTTTGTAGTCTGCATTTTCAAAGGTAGCAAATTTGAACATAAAAAAATTAGAGTATTCTGTGCAAGCTAGAGCAGGTGATCCAGACTGGACACCCAATTGTCCATGGGGTCCTCTCTTCAATTTGAAAAGTGAAATATATGA